AATCAGGTGATCCTTCCAAAAGCAAAGCTTTGGTGCCCTAACAGGCTATTGGTGATGGTGGTGGTGGTGGTGGTGTTGGTGGTGGTGTTGGTGGTGGTGGTGGTGGTGGTGGTGGTGGCGGTGGTTGTGGTTATGCATGGTGGTGGTTGTGGTTGTTGTTGATTCTGTTGCTTTTATTCGCCTTCTTCGTCTTATGTATCTTGTTCTTGCTTGTATTGTAAGCTACACGGCAGTGCATGCTGCTACTTTCTGCAAACGGTAGGTAATACTACCATTTGAGTAACACCCAAGGCGTGCAGCTCTATGAGGACGACAAGGAAGAACCTGCCTTCAAGTTGGAAGTTGAATTCTAACACTTGCTTGAGATCACAAACCAAAGTCAGAAAACGTCGAGCTGCGCAGAAAACAGTCGGAGCCAAAGCTAAAGTAGCGAAGTCGTTGAACTGTGTCGTCGTCTGCTCCTCCACTTGGCAACCTCCGCAGACGTCCTGAAGTGGAGGGCAACCAGAGACCATGAACTCAAAAACCTAATACAAGACTTAAGCTAAACCTGTACGTAACGATGCTTCTCGAGATCAGCATGCTTGACAATGCAGCAAGCTGGATTTATTATTCGACCCAGGATGTTGGTAACACTCCACAGAAGTGTCCTTCAGCAGCTTCTTGTACCTCGGCTGGTCTCGACCCCCTCGCCGCCCTTCCTCCCTCCCTCCCTCTCCTCCCCTCCATTCTGTCTGATAATGTCCCTGTCGCTTGTATTTGCTGTTTTTGGGGCGGGGTAATACTGTGGTTCTCGCCGCGTGGTAGTCGGCCACAATGCACAATGCCGCATGGTGCTTGTTTTCCGGCATCAGCCAAGTTAACAGTCTAGCTAATTGGGTTTGCAGATCAGCATAAGGGTGAATCTTGTGACACGCATTCCGTATGCCGACGCTAACTCTAGCAGGGCTACAGTACATTCAGGATATCAGGAGCATCTGGCCTAACTGCTGTGTGACAACGGAAAGATTAGCAAGGTCTGCAGCGCAAAAATGAGACACGGCTGATATGAATCGAGTTTACAAACAGTATTGTGGGGCGTTCGGTTTCATCACCCTATCTAGAAACACCGTCAAGAGCACAAGGACTACAGTGTCTTAAACATGGCTGAATAACATAAAGAGATATGTGTATATACATATGCATGTGTGCGTGCGACTCTCGAGCTTGACGTCTACAGTTTTGTGAAATCGGCCCATCCGCGTATAAAACCAACACATGCAATTCGAAACTACATTAACCAGGTCCACTGCTCGTATTACGACGCGAGCTAAACAGCCTCGCTGTCTTGTGGATGATTCTTATGCCGGTTTTGTGTGGTTTTTGCAGAGCATCGGCTGAGGCGAAATACGATTTCGGGCTCTCCAGAACTACTCTGAAAATAAACGAATGCACTAGGATTTTAGAAGGCAAACAAGGCGCGCCTGAGTTTGTTTTCTCAGAGAAAGCCTTCCAGCGCTTCGCGGATCTGCTTGGGCACGCGCGGTCCAGCCACGTCACCAGCCCCACATGAACTCAGAACACGGTCGCCATCCACTTTGAGCTTTGCGAACAATTTCGGCGGCAAAACTGTCTTTATAATAAGCTCTCCCAACTTCTGTCAAGCACATGCTTGAACGCCAACGACATTACTCGCCTGGAGGCGGAGGCGGTGCAGCTGCTGGCGCACAGCGCTGCTGAGCAGCGACGCGCATTCCATAAAAGCCGTCCATGCCAATGCCGCACCGCCGGCGCGGATATCTGAAAATACACAAAGAATCAAAACCTGATAGGAGCCACGAACCCGAATGCAGTTGCGCGCCCGATAGCAGCAGGATTATCAGTTCTATAGGCTTCGCGACCAGGACCCCCTCCATCCCC